TGTGGCATATGTCTGTATTTAATTGTCATGGACATTTACTTTTATACATGAATTTTGAAATAAAGAATCTAAAACTGCTCATTGATCAGTGGGGTGATGCGAATATCAGAAGAGTTGTACCATAGACTCTAGCTGGCAATCATAAAGTTCCATACACAGGAATAGTAAAATGGGGGAAATACTGACAACAGTTGATCCACTATCTAATTCCTTGTTGTGCTCGAGTTGTTCTTTAAGTTTTCTCTCTGGTGACACAAACCAAAAATAAGCCAGTCCAAACTAATTACATCAAGGAAGGCCACTGTAAATTTTAGAGCAGGAACTTAATACTTTGCTCTTTACCACCATACAATCCACAAACTCACCCAAAGTTAAGTCCTATTTCATAAAATAGCATTCTCTGAAGAAAAAAATTCTATCAAAATTAAAATAGCATTTCAGCTTTAACCAAGAAATGAGTTTTAAATACTCTGATGTCCATTAAAAAGTGTCAACAGAGGAGCTGGGGATTTAGCTCAGTGGTTCTGCCACCTGCCTCACAAGAGCAAGGTCCTGAGTTTGAGCCCCGGTACCAAAAAAAAGTGTCAACAGAAATAGAAGATCTGTACAGATCAGAATATTTTAAAATGCCATATGCAACATAGCAATTTATAAAAAGCTGTAGTAATTCTTATTATTACCTTTAAATTATGGTATTAAGATTCAAAATAAATAATTGCTGAATTTGCTAAGTAAGATACCCTGTAATATGTTTACCATTTTTGTTGTTACATCAAGATATTTTTCAGCAAAGCATTACACACCCATGTTTTATTGTTGTCATAATTTCAAAGACTAAGTAAATACACACATTAAGCAAATGGACTGTATATCAAAATGCTGTATCTGAATCAACTGTGCCGAACACAGACAGCAGTGAACTCTGCAACTGCAGCAGAAAAAAAGTATTAGTTGTTCCATAGCCCCTCAAAATCCAACTGGGCTGTAGCATCACACTAGCCTTAGGATTATTCCAGAATCCTAGAAATAAAAGCTGGCCATTTCCTCTTGTCTCCTGATCATGGAAGATTTCCACCGGTTCTGAATATGCCCAGGTCCTGTGGAAAGAGCTCCCACAGGACTCAAGGGCCTCCTCAGAGCCCCCCTTCTGGAAAGAAACCTTTCCTATTCTCCCATGACCTGGACACCTCTGCTCCGCGTCCTGAGAACTGTGCTGCTACCACTCTTGAGGCACCTTTACCCTCTTCCTCCTGAGAGACCTGTCTGCGAGGTTACCTGTCCTCCCCTCCCCGTGTCTTCCTACAAAACTCACAGAGTAAACCGTCTAGTGGGCACCGTCTGTTCTCATTTTTCTCACAACAGTAGGGACAACAGGGGAAATACAGCAAGAACGATTTCTATATACGCCATTTATATATTGACCATATTAGGTGCCCGTTTTTATTTTTAAAAATATAGTTTCATTCATGTTGCCTATTTCACATGTTTTAACTTCTCCCTGCCAAACTCTTCCCCGATTACTAACTCAGAATTCGTTATAGAGCAGTTGCTCAGTAAATTTATATTAAACAGACACAAGCTTCTGTTGACAAAAATATAAAATTATGATTGGCAAAAAGATTAAACCCAAAACAATGTCTATTTCCCTAAAGCAATGTCTGCGGAGGCTGTCCAAATCTCAGGCTGATCCTATCACTTCTTTTTCACAGGGTGTTTTACCCCGGGGCCTACACACCAAAGCTTGAGAAACAAACCAACTGTAGCTGACAAGACGGGCTTGAGAGGGAGATGGAAGAAGGAAAAGCCCCCGTTCCTCCGCTCCGGGAGGTTGTTGGAGGGTGTGTCTGCATTTCACCACCAGGGGGAGCCAGCACCTTTGAAGCTGCAGCCGCTGAGAAACAAAAGTCCCTGTTCCCAAACACACACACACACACGCACACACACACACACACACACACACACACACACACACGGTGTAGCAAGTCTGGAAGAAGCATGTCTACTGACCGATTAAGTTTCCTTTAGGGAAAAATGCTCCAAAATCAAATTAAAGAAAACAAGATTTATTAGATCTAAGTTTTGGAAGTTTTCATTTAGAATATTATTATTGTAATGTGAAATAGGAAAAACAGGGGCAAAGGGGAAGGGGAAGTGGGAGGGGGTAGGGGAAAGAAAAGAAGGGAATGGAATTAATATGAGAAAATGGAAAAATAGGAACAAAGTCTTTGTAAATAGGGAGGGATGGAGGGGTTGAAGGGAGGGCAGGGGAAGGGGGGAAAAGTTAGAGGGGTAACGTATTGCAAACATGTACTAATAAAAAAGGGGAAAAGCATAAATAGGACCTTTTATAATTCTTTATACTTTACAACATGGTCTGAAACAAGAAGTACAAACAGCAAATAAATATATGAGAAATTTTTCAACACCACTAGTTATTTGGAGATCAAATTAAAACAATGCTGAGTGAGATTCCATCTCACTCCAGAAAGAATGGCTAGTGCTTGCTTTGGTAGCACATATACTAAAATCAGAAGGAATGGCTAATATCCAGAAATCAACCAACAACAAATGCTGACAGGGCTGTGGGGAAAAAGGCCTTCTCCACTGTTGGTGGGAGTGCCGAGTGGTGCAATCACTATGGAAATCAGTGTGGAGACTTCTCAAACATCTAGGATTAGAGGTCCCATTTGACCTAGCTATTCCCCTTCTGTGTATCTCCCTGAAAGAATTAGGAGCATCATACCCCAAAGATATATGCTCACCTATGTTTATAGCAGCACAGTTTGTAATAGCTAAATCTTTGTAATAGCTAAATCTACACAACAATGCCATCAACTGATGAATGGATAAAAAGATGTGTTTTTTATACAATAAAGTACTACTCAGTCATAAAGAAGGATAAACTTGAGACACTTGTAAGTAAATGGATGCAGCTTGAGACCATATTCTTAAGTGAAATAAATTGAACACATGTGTTAATATCATATTTTTTCTCTGGTGTGAGAGACTGAATGAGTAAATAAGGGCCAAGATGTATAATAGATAATGTGAAATAGAAAGAAAATGTTCATAAGGAAAAGGAAACTAGGAAGAGGGGAGGGTGAAAAGAAGGAAGGGAAAAGAAAAAATGAGAAAAGAAGGAAAAAATGGAAACAAAGCTTTTGTAAATAAGGAGGGGAAGAGGGTTTGAAGGGAGAAAAAGGAGAACAAAGATATACCATGTACAGGTACAAATTCCCTATGATGAATGTGATTACTAGGTAAATTTAGATTGTACCAATAAAATTAATTTTAAAAAGAATATCATTAGCATCATATGTTTGAAGTCAAATCATTGATAAAACAGACGTGGATTGGGGGCCCAGGTGTCCACATACACTGCATATATCAAGCTGCTTTTAGGGTAACATAAATTAGACAGCTAATGCAAACAAACCAAGAACTCTATTTGAATAGCCAGAAAAGAAACAAAAGGTCTATTTTAACCCCCACTTTAAAGGTCGCAGAGGGCCCTGTGTTCCAGATCCTGGGATGGGAAACCCTCACCTGTCTCTGGGATGGCCCCAATTAGCCTACAGCACTGGCCACTGGTCCCACGATTTCCCCCAATGGCGAGTCCTTCATCCTCCTCTTCGCATCTTTTGGTGGTTAAAAACTCTTACTGGGGGTAATAACATCATCAACTGGCAGTAAAGGAAATGCAAAATTACATAATTTAGCTTTATGTAGAAGACTACTTAATTTTTTTGTAACCTTAAGAAGATGACCTCCTGGGTTAAGTATGGAATGAGCCAACAATCCGCGATGCTCTTGCTGTTTTTGTAGGCAAGGAAGGTGGGCCAGGGCACTCTCCCTAGTTCTACAAACTGCAGCACTTATTTATAGTTTTATCATTGCTATTTTAACAGAATAGGAGAATTTATGAAAAGCCTTAAAAGTCCCAAAAACAAACTAGACAAAGACATGAAAATGTAAATTTTTTTTCTTTTTCCTGACCAGCTCACATTCGTAAAATGCCTCCGCCCTAAACCCTGAAATGTGGGTTATGAGCCCTCTAGTGGACCACAAGAACAAGACACCCTAACCCAACAAAAAACACCTCCAAGGGCCAGCGTTGAAGTCTCAATGTCAGGATGCTCAGAGATATAATGTTCATTTCCACCCGCATCCCAAAGAGCTACGGTGGTGGTCACCACCCACCGTCGCGCCGTCTGCCCGGTACGAGAGTAAGAGGCTGGAAGAGGCTTTCTGGAGCCCAAACAAGCCACAGAAAGGACCCAACACTTCACAAGGTGCAACTCAACTAACACGCCACAGATCTTGGCTCCCCCCCGGCAAAGATGTTTTAATTCCATGGATGTTTTTGGAGGACTGCAAACACTTTCACCTTATTAATTAATTTCCCATTACTTCCTGTGACAATAACCATCCGGAGGCATCAAATAATTTAGGTGTGGAAGAAGACAAGGCCCTCCTTTTCAGGTTTTGGCTGTAACTATGCCTTCAAAAGAGGGTACGACTATTTTAAAAATTAGATAAATAAGAAAGGAAAAATCTAAAGGTTCTCATCGTTATAGTACAGAAAAAAGAAAGAGAAATAGAGGAAGGAGAGAGAAGAGAACAGAGAGATAAGAGAAATGAATAGAGACAGAGACCTAGAGTAACGGTTGACACAAAGTTGGTGCTAAAGAAATATTTGTGGAATGAATGAAGGAATTACTTGTGAATTAGAGAATGGCTTAAAACTGAATATTTACTTGAAGACCATTCCATGTTATTTCAGCTTTTCTTTGGTATGTAACACGTGCTAATTTTGCCAAATACTAGTGGCGTTAGGAGCCACCAGTGGTCCCTTGGTGCTGTTGCCTGGTGAAGGACTCCCCTTTTGGACTGCAAGCCAGCAGGGAGAAAACCCTTTCTACTCAACAGCTGGTGTGGAGATGGTTGTTTTTAGGTAAATTTCTAGGTTCTAACTCACAGCATTTGTTATGCATACTTACACAGCGCCTCAATTTCTGTCTCAGGCTATGAAAGTCTTCTACAAAATGTATTTCTTTGCAGACTTATAATTGGAGTTGATCAAGAACATCTTCCATGAAGAAGGAAAGAAGCTGTTCCTGGAACCTGCAGCTTTTCTATGAATAAGATACAAGAAATTGCATCTGTATGAATAGCTTGGGGTTTTTTCATGTCGCTGAGACATCTCCCTGATTATTACTTGCTATCTGGAAAAATTTAAATGCAGGAAAAAGAACATCAGACAGGTAGAAAGATGAAAATTAAAAAGGCTTTCTGGCTTACCATAAATAGCGTCTTTGTTTTCTTTTTTAATAATCTTACATTTTTTATGCGGTCTTCCTACAATAAAATAAAGAGAAGTAAGTTGTGTCCAGAATTACAGCATCCTTTCAGTCTTCCTTCTAAGCAGAGCCCAATACTTACTGGAATGGTTGCCTTTAGCCTGGCTGCCTTGACATAGAGCATGTCCACAGCTTGAGACAGTGACTCCCCTGAATGACAACTTTTGGTGAAGGAAGATTGAGATGGCTTGTGCTTGGCAATGGAAAGAAACAGAGTAACACACAGCAATCCAGACCTTAAGATGCAGTTCACCCACATCGCCCCTTCCCTACCCTAAGCTTGAGTCACTCACAGCGGTCTGCTAGTTGTGTCAGTTAGAGGATAACCTACTTTTTAGCCCTTAAAGCCACCTCTCTCATGAAATGCTGTGAAAGATAACTTACAGTTTATATAGAGAACCATCACTTTGGTTTGCTACTTTTCTAGTTTGCTTCATAATAAAAACACATTGACCACACCATCTGCCATGTTATGTAAAAGCTCAAGTTTACTGGCAAGATGAGGCCCCTGTTTCCAAAAATAATTGAGAACTTCAGATACATATCTGAAGCAGATTGCATTATTTTAAAAATCACGCCATGCCATTAAGAGAGCATGAGATCCAGGAGGCTGTGTGATAATCTGTTTTAATCCTCATGTGAAAATCTCCTTTTCTAGCCAGAATCCTTTAGAAATTGACCCAAGGGGTAGAACAGGCAGCTCAAATGCATTTTAAGTTTATCTTTGCCAAATCTTTCACCTGGTTCATCCTTCTTCCTCAGAACCATTAATCTACACCCAGCAGCAGAATTTTTTCTAGCTCAGGAATTGTAACTTCCCTAATATTTTCAGGATTTTTTTAATTGGCCCTGGGATGTGTGCAGTTTAATAAGCACTATATCCCAGTGCATCGCAGTTTATCATTCAGACTTTCTCCCCAACCAGATATCCAGCAGTGTGAGAATTCCTTGAAGAAAGGGATTATATCTGTTCATCTTTGAATCTTCAGCATCTACCATGGTGCCTCAACTAATGTTCATCCAATATTGATTGAATAAATACTTCCCTTTCCTAATCATGAGATGATACTATAACTGCTTGGCTTTTTGAGTTGATTTAATTCACAAATTTTTCTTTAGGACCTCCTACACAAGGAACAGTTCTAGGTACTACAGGGGTAGCAGGTGAATACTCCATGGACTCCTACCCTCTATTCTGTCCCAACTCTTCCTATAAGTAAGGCAGCTCCCACATAAGAGGCAGTCACGGCCCAGGGTGATACATTGAGAAGCAGCAATGGCTCACCAAGGCCCAGAAGGAATAGAGTTACTCTAGCAGCAAGAGCTGGTCAGCACTGGGAATCTGGTTGTAAAGAAATTACTCAAAACTAGGAAAATCAGTAACAAGCATCAGAACCCAAAAATAAATTTTAAATCATGGCAAGCTAACTAGCAAAGGAGCAAAAGAGAACAAAAAATAAGATGAGAAGTTTAATGCTTTGGGAATACTTTCTGCTGTTCCAAAAATAGTGAATCCCTTTGAAGAGTCCAAGCATCATTTCCCAGGAGGATTCTGCTGTTAAACACATTCTACCAAATGCCATGGGAACATTTCACAAAGAGCGACAGCAAAAGACAGAGGATGGGGAATGCTACCTGAGGCTCCATGAAATTTTATAAAAACCCAGAACAGGGCCGAGGATTTAGCTCAGTGGTTCCTGTGCTTGCCTTGCAAGCGCAAGGTCCCAAGTTCGATCCCTGGTACCAAAAAAAAAAAAAAAAAAAAAACCCAGGACAGGGAATTATTTTTGTCTGGGAGGGGCTGAAAGGGTATTTGAACTGGAAAACAAGATGCCTGAAGGTTTGTATGAGAACAGGAGTGCCTGGTGTTCCAAGTCCCTTTAGAAAGAAAGGGTGTGCACGCCAAGGGTCAAAAGCTCGCATGCCTTCTGAGAGCATGGGGTTAACATAAACACCCCGCTGGCTGCTCATGTTGTCACCAAGCTGAACTGCATAGTCTATTAACACACTGTGTGGATGCAATAAATGGACGACACAGAACACTTCCAGGCTGCCTTGACCAACCAATTCAAGATGCCCTGTGTGTCCCAACAAAACTTCTGTGCAATTCAAATTCTGGTATTAATAAATAAAGTTGATGAGGAATCTAGATATTTTGTAATCTCTGGTAATTCCATTTCCGTAAATGTCCAATAGCCTTCAAATCATATTACCCAAGGAAGATCACTCATTCCCAAGAATCCCAGTGCTTTGGTTTGCAGCCAACTTAAAAAAAAAAAAAACTGCCTCTGTGTGTTCATAACTGAAAACTCTGTCACCCTATTGACCAACCCCAGTCAGTAGCTCTGCCTCATGAGGCTCTTTCAACCTTCCAGAATGAATAGTGGCAATAGTCACGGATACTCACTACACAGGCCCTGAAGGCGATTCCAAGGGGGACCTCAAAAGTGTCCTAAGTAACAAAAGAACCAGTCGAATAAGTGTAGAATATCATTGAGGCAACAATCTAAAAGTGTTTCTCTGTTCGTTGGTTCTCTGTTCATGTTTTATCACGTTCACAAGTTTATCATACAGAAATGTATAAAAATTGCTATTAATTACAAGGAGATTTGGCTTTGAAATGCTGACTTACCCTTACTAGTGGGGTCCTTGGTAAAGTTACTAATCCTCTGTAAACTTCAGTTTTTGTCATCATTATGGTTGCTCTGAGCAAAAAGCTACAATAAAAAAACAGAATGTTTAGCCCAATGACAGCCATAGAAATGCTCTGGAAGTGATTTGCATTAATATACATCAGACAATAAATAACAAATGCACATGTAATACTCTGAATAATGTTAAAACTCATCATAAGACTTTAAAGATTTGAGGAACATTAGAAGAAAATAAGAAAAATGAAGGATGTCCAACAATCGAGACTTCAAAATGGATGAGCATGAGGATTCAGTTACCCCATCTGCCTCTAGAGGCCAGACAAGGACCATCGAGCAGAAGGGAACCCGCTGCTGCATGCTGTACAGGATAAGATTCAAACTGAACTGCCCAAGACTTACTGCTCCAAATCCCCAATGCCACCTCGGTAATCATTTCCCTTAAAATTTAAGTCCTTCCCCAGTCAAAGAAACTCGCTGCCCTCTCTGATGGTTCACCATGTCAGATGAACAAAATGAGCTCAACAATTCATGAAAAGAAGCACAGGTTCATTTGGAGTCCTTATCTGATTTCCCTTTACGAAGGAAAAAACAACAAATGCTATACAACAAATTCTATATTACTAATAGACTTATTGACTCTAAAATACATTCTTTTGCATTTTAATGGCTCTAAAATCACAATGTGTTTTATAATCCAGAATCTTAAATTATTCACTGTGATCAAAATATACAGTTAATGTTAAAGTTTTAAAAATGTATTACAGTAAAAGATATATTGCCATTAATATCTCTCAAAATATTTCTCCTTTCTTCAGAAACGCTTGTCCCATTGTTCTTGCCATTTTCTGAAACAGTTCTGGAAGTCCTGAATGGATTCAAAATGTTTACCTTCTGTGGTCATTTTGACTTTGGAGAAGAGCCAGAAGCTGCATATCAGATGTGGTAAATAAGGTGGATGAGGACACAACATCAAACTTGCCTTTTCTACAAACCTGCCTTTCGGTTGGATGGCACGAGGTGGCGACACTCACTATATTTTTGATCACAGCTCATAAAGATATTGACAAAAGAGGACTTCTAAGAACACTTCAGAAAATGGCAAGAACAATGGGATAAGTGTATTTGAAATGAGAGGGGAGTATTTTGAAAGAGATTAATAGTAGTTTGTTTTTTACTGTAATTGTTTTTATTTAAACCCATGCTCATTTCTCGATCAGCCCTTGTACATCTCTCCATCAGAATCCACATGCATTTTCCTCGCCTGAGCAGTCTCACATTGCTCATAAGCACTAAAGACATCACTTCTATTGAACTGTGTGCATGGTTGTTATACCAGTGTTTAATTCCATTGCTGTTTAAGATGTCTTCAAAAAGGTTATTCCATGATTCAGCTTTGAAATCAAAGTTCATGTGCTCACAGAAGGCACAACACAGCAGTAATGCACAAACTTGACAGAACAAAAGCAAATATTTTCTTTTGGAGAAATGACTAAAATTGCATATTTATTTGCAAAGCAACAGCCAACTGCTAGATGTTAGAAAGTATCACATCATAGTTTATAATCAGCAGCATTTTTCCCTTTCCTAGCAGTAAAAAACAGTGCAACTTCTAATATACAACGCATGACCCAGTGTGTTAAAATATGATATTTAATAACCTCAACTGTTGGTATAATTACCTAGAGTCATTAGTCCTAAATCAGTGCACTGCTGTACATAAGAAGTAGGTGGAACTATATTAAACCCATCATCCTTTTTAAAAACTGAAATCTCAGATATTTTTTCCAGGATAGAACCAGAGGGTATAGGTAAGAAACTATTACAAATACTAATTCTGTTTAATACAATGATAGCATTTTTTTACCTCTCCAGAAAATGTAGGTCACACTCCATTGTATTCCACCCAGGAAACCTGTTTATCTCATGTTTGCATAATCAAATAGACAGATGAGAAGAAGGCAAAGAAATAACGAAAAGTGGTGCAAATGTACTGAAGAGGAAAGAAAGGAATATGGCACCTAGATAAAGGGAGAAGAATGGAGAGAACTGCATGAAAAGTCCCTGAAAGCCTTGTCCCAGAGACCTGTTCTAGATGCCTTACAAAGCACCCTACAGGTTTTCATTCATCATTAAATCATTCATTCACCAAGTACTTAGTGAGTGTGGATTATCTTCCAGGTATTAAGGCTCAGGATGCATCAATAAATGATAAAATTCTTGATTTTTTAAAATATTCTAGTGGCTGGGGGCAGGGGGAAGAAGCGACAGACCATAAATAAATATGATAGCTACACATTACAATAATTTCTATCCATGCTGTAGTTTGAGTGTGGTCCATATATTCCCCAAGGTCCCATTGTGCTTAAAGGCTTCGTCCCCGGGTGGCTCTGTTGGGAGGTGATGGACCCTTTGGTAGGTGAAGCCTCGTGGGAGGTCTTTAGGTAATTGGTACCTGCGGTATTTCTCAAGGAACCCCTTTGGTGGCTTTCATGTGATCCTTTGAGTTCTCCTGAGAGGACTGTCATAAAAGGAGTAAGGCTGGTCCTACCCAGTCTCTTGCTTTCTGCTCTCATTCAAGATGTGACCATGTCTTGCTTCTACATGT